AGCACAATATGGAGTTTAAATAAAACAAGCTGATGCTTACAGTGTGTGTTTCTGGTATTATGTTTTAGAACAGAGGACAGATTTTTCATTTATTCGTATGGACCAGAATTTGTGAAATCAATACAAAATGAAAAATCTAATAGAATTTTGAGAGGAAGTAAAAAATGAAACTTTTTTTAGTTATTTTATAATTATCATCACTTAAAGAAATGGACATCATAGATACCGAATAGAATGAAAATTCCCTAGAAAATAGGGAAAAAGACAGAATTCATGCGTCTTCTCTGAAATAAATAGTTTATGGTATCCAAATCAGTAGGGCTTTTTGAAAATATTTTTCATAGGAGAATACAGATTTTAAATTTTCCCTTTAAATGTTTGTGTTTTTGAAGTAAATAGGTAGTCTGTCTCAGGTGGAAAATCTTCCATATCGGTGCAGTAAAATCTTAAATCAGTTCAGAAGCAAGTATAGTCTACAGCACAGTACTTCAGCATGTATGTAACAGTAAGTATTCTAAAATGGGTTATGTGTTAAAGCCATATGGATATAATCTTTAAGTAACTCACAGGGTCTTGTTAACAGCCATGGTCTATGGCAAACTTGTTATGCTTAGCAGCAATCAGAAAGACTGGGAATTATGTCTAATTGTATTGCCTACATTGAGAATTCGTGTCTACCTGTTGATCAGAAAGTAAGTTTTCTACATATAGTAAGATAAGCATAACTTAAAGCATTTTAAAATATTTTTTTTTTTTTTTTAATTTCCTGCTTGTGTTTCTGCTTGTCATCCTTCCTTCTTCATAGTTTGCATAAAAGTGACTTGTAGTTGAATAAAAATGCTAGTTGGTAATTCAGGAGCATTAAATGTAACATAAGTAGTATATATACTACTGCTTCTAATTTTAGGAAAGGAAACTTGTTGGATTTGGGAAAAATTTGAAGATTGACAAACAGTAGTTAGATCTTTGGTTCAAAAGAGGCTTCAATTTTCTGTAAACAGAATCTAGTCCCACTCTAACAGTTAAGCTCATTGAAGTTATTTCCTTCTATAAAATGTCAGGGACATTAATATGTATGCTGTTCTGAAACTAATGCCTTCTATATGTTTCCATGGAAACTACAACAGATACAGTGAGCACAGTAAGAGTGTGTGATTGACCAAATTCTCAGCTACAGTACCCTGTCTTTCAAAACAGTCACCACTGTTTTCTGTACATTTTCACCAGTGGTGAACAAGAGCCTGCATGCAGCACTCAGAAACATCTGCACCTGCAGAGATTGACCCACTGTCAACACTGCTGAAATGCACCACCCACCAGCTCACAGGGCTCATACACACTGTTTGGTCTCCAGAAACATTCAGCAAGTGTCAGTAAATGTCACTGGGTACCATTTTTTCCACACGAAGGAATTCAGTTACACAGCTTTCCTTCATATGGACTTCCATGTCAGATGCCACTTTGTCAAATGTGTCTGCTGCCATCTGTCACATGGCAGCAACATCTGAAGGAATATCGGTGGGAAGATCCAACCTCAACTGGCATACCACCAACACCTGCCTCTGATGTCACTGGCCAACACAGTAAAAGGAGATGCATTACTTCTGGAGCATCCCTCCTACATTTACAGAGAGAATCACAATGCAATCAATGTCATGTAGCCCAAACATGGGCTGCATAACGGGTAACAAAATATTACAGAGGGGAGGGTACAGTGCAGTGATAACTGCCTCTTGCACCCATCCCACATGCTCACTTGAATAGATATATGTGCACTTGTGCCACTTGGCGAGTACAGTATAGTGATTACAGACAGTAATATTTTAAACTGTCTTTGGCCGTTTAAACATTGTCTTGTGACATATGCAGTCTAGAAGAAATATGCTGAATAGTCATGCTGACAAACTATGATTTTCAGTATCTTTAAAAGCTCACAAAGCATAAAATAATTTGTGATGTTTTTAATTAGTTTTGTGATATATATTTGATTAGTGTTTCGCAAAAGCAAGATCAGATATTCCACGAGTTTAATGTTTTTTGTTGCTCTCATCTTTTAATAAAAAAAATAAAAAATAAAAGACAAAGTAAGTTTTGTTACTTATTATATACATTAACTATATTTTATGTGTGGCCCAAGACAATTCCTCTTCAATCAGCACAGCCCACGCAAGCCAAAAGGTTGGACACTATGGTCTAGACAAACTGTTCTAGTACTTAACTCCTCTCATGAAGACGGTTTTTTCCTTATGTCTGGTAAGAATTTCTCATATTGCAAGACATGACCAATTGCCTCTTTTTCTTTCATTGTGCATCTCTCAGAAAGGTTTGACTTAATCTTCTCTGTAACCTTTAGATAGTGAAAGATAACAATTAAATTGCTTTTTTAGCTACTTTGTCTTCAAGTTAAACAATCTGAGTTCTTTCAGGCTCTCCTCATATATCATGTATTGGGAATCCCCAATGATATTAGTGTCTAAACTCTTTTCAGTTTGTTGACATTTCTCTTTTACTGGTGATAGAAAAGAGGCAAAACTGGATGCCAGTGTAAAGCCAGCAATGCCAAACAGAGGGGAATAAGCACATCCTTCAGTCAGTCTGCAGTCTACCAGGCATTACTGTTGTGAGGGTACACTGGTGATTGTTTTCAGCTTGCTCCCTACCAGGATTCGGGGGTCCTTTTTTTCTCAAAGCAGCCATCCCATCGATCTGCCTCTGGACTATAGTCATATGTAGGTTTTCATGTGTCTTTTGTGATCTGTTGTGCTCCTATGTGTTTGGCATGTTTTCCTTGAACTTCAGGAGGTTCCTGTTAAGTTATACTGTGCTTACTCAGGTTTCTTTGAATAATCTTGCCACACAAATGGAAAAAAAAATCTGCTGTTAGGCTACTTATTTATATTTAATCTACAAAAGAAGTACTCATAGCACTTGGAGTAGTGGCAGACAACTGGAAAAAATGATTGAGCTGATAGCAAAATAGTTTTAATGGATAATCTGTGGGCATAGGAGTTGTTTGATGAGATGGCTATTTTGAGTCAATGTAAGGTTTTGAAGGGGGTTTATATGTGTTGGAAATTGTGTAGAATGAGAATGAGAGAATAGCTGAAATGGTTAGATGAGAATGAAATGAGTAGGGGGGACTGAGGTAGAAGAAGTGAAGAAGGTGTTAGATTTTAGGGGCTGCAAATAAATAAATAATGGGACTGAAGGGATAGGTTCTAGAGCAGATGGTCAGAGACTGGGGTTCCTAAAATGGTAGTGAGGTAAGAAATAGAGGGTAATAGGGTTTGTAGTCACGGTGGTTGGACTCACTGAGGAGTTACGACAAGGTACAGTGGGGACTGGATTGTTCCCAAGACTGCAAAGTGAAGGAGGTAAGTTATTGTGATACTGAATAGCGCTTTCCAAGCAAACATCCTATGCATCAGGGCTTATTACAGAAAAGACAGATGTGTGACTCAGGCTTGGTATACTTTTATATGGTAGCATGTCAAGGAGGTTGATGGCACAGGGCGGGTGGCCTTATGCTAACTTCAGTCATATTTTGCTTGCTAATGAGGATGGAAGGATTTGGAGAAATCAAGTGGGCTATCCCATGCTCTACCCAAATATCCAGTCTTAGTTAATTGGAAATCACTGTTGTACCGCATACATTAAGAAAAAAAAATTGTATTTCCTGTGACCTTTGCACAGAATTTTCCTTAAAAACATTACCAGTTGTAGGTCATATTTCTATAGGTGTAGGGAAAAAAAAAATAATGCAAAAAGTGTTTTATACTGGGTTTTAAAACCTTTGGTGTACTGTTTGGGGACAAGATTAATGGTTTGGGGGACTTTTTTATATTCTTGGTATCATTCGCAGCCTTTCGTATATGGAATCTATACAGCATCAGTTATTCAAATTATTGTTATAGCAGGTTTTCCTCCTACAAATAGAAATTGAAGCATCTTCTTTTGTACTTTTTTCAGAAGATTGTTGTCTATCTGCTATACAAAGAATCTCCTTTAGAAGCTGAAATACACTGCATGCTACCTGAAATATACCCCTTCTCCTAAACCCCTATTTATGTAGACAAAAGAAAAAAAAAAAAAAAAATCAGTTACTTTGCAGTTTTGTATTATGGAGTTGTTAACTACATTTTAGTCTTGCAATTTATTATATTTGTCCGTAATGCTTGAGTAATACCAGTATACATTTGTTGAAGTTGCCAGGAAACTTATTATCCTACCATTAGCACAATTCTGTACCTATAAAAGACTCTCAAAAATATATGCTAGCTTCTGTATTATATTGTATGTTAATTTGTGGTTGAATACTGAGTATTTTTTTAATTTTATGTAATGAACTAAACAAATCACTGCCTTTATTTAGCAGATTTTATCATTTCTGTCTTCCACCCTTATTTTTTGTACGTACAAAATTTATGTCTGTACATTTTTTAATATTTCTATTTTTAAATAGAAAATATATAAAAAAAAATTCTATTTCTAAGATTTTACTTTAAGCTGCAACTACTGAAGTATTTGTGGACCAATATTATTTATCTAACCCTCTGTTCCTTCCTACATGGATTTTAGTCTGTATGCAAATTTTCCCTGTTTTTCCATTAAATGTCTTACAGTTTTACTTTTTTTCTGTTTTAAGGCCCATGTGAGTATTTAAGCACGTAACTTTTTTACTTTTTTTTTCAGTTTACAGCAGTGAAATGTTAAATTTGTAATGTTTTGTGAAAATCAAGAGGAGATTACACAGTTCTCTATAACCAAATAAAAATATTACTGCCAATGAGAAATAGTCTCGATGTAAGTTCTTTCAAGAGGCAAGTGTATGCTATTTGTATGAATCTTGCTGAAAGGACTCATAGTAGTTCCTGATAGCATATTAATAACTTAGGAGGCATTTTTGTTATTTCATGTTTACTCCTGATTTTGTTAGCTGTAACAAGAACAAAAATGGGGAATGCTATGTTATACTAAAATGTATTTGTGTTTATTCCTAGAAAGTATTTTTTCGAGAAGAAATGGCATCCAGCATTGAAAATGAAAAGAGTGTGAATCCTGTGCTCAGAATAAGTCAACTTGATGCTCTGGAACTAAACAAAGCTCTGGAACAACTAGTGTGGTCCCAGTTTACCAGCTGTTTTCATGGATTTAAACCAGGGGTGTTGGCTCATATTGAACCAGAAGTTAAAGCATTTCTGTGGCTTTTACTGTGGAGATTCACCATCTATTCTAAGAATGCAACTGTGGGACAGGCTATTTTGAATATTCAGTACAAGAATAACTTATCTCAGACAGAGAAATACCAACCTCTGAGCAAACACCAGAAGTTATGGTATCTTATTTTCACTGTTGGTGGAAGATGGCTGGAGGAAAGATGTTACGATTTCTTTAGCAATCGCCAACTGCAATCTGTCAGCAAAATCAAGCAATATATTAATTTTGGAGCTGGACTTCTTAAAATTTGTGGACTTGTAAATTTTCTGATTTTTCTTCAGAAAGGAACATTTGCAACACTTACTGAACGCATTCTAGGAATTAAGTCAGTTTTTTGCAAGCCACAGAATGTTCGCCAGGTAGGATTTGAATACATGAACAGGGAGCTGTTGTGGCATGGCTTTGCTGAATTTCTGATCTACTTGCTACCACTTATTAATGTACAGAAACTGAAACTCAAAATTTGTTCTTGGTGTTTGCCTATTGCCAATCTTTCTAATAGTGAAAAAACAGTAGCAGCTCACTACAAGGTGTGTTCGCTGTGTGGGGAATGGCCTACCATGCCACATACCATAGGCTGTTCACATGTGTTTTGTTACTACTGTATTAAAAGTAACTATTTACTTGATATGTATTTTACCTGTCCTAAGTGTGGCTCAGAGGTACACAGTCTTCAGCCACTGAAATATAAAATTGAGATGACAGAATTACATATCTAATAAGGAGGTTGTTCTATTCTTGTACTGCATATGAAATATATTAAAGATGAATGGAAAAAAATCAGAAATTACTGTAATCAGACAGCTTGAAAGACAGCTTTGGAAATTCTTTAAGCCTTTTCTGGTGTTATTTTTTTTACTGAGTAACAGTGCCAACTTGCATCTCTGAATAAAGGAAAACAAAAAAGTTTGCAGGTTCTTCTACTCTCTCAGACTACTTGATCCCATTTTGGTACCCCTCTGTTGTCTTCTTAGATCATGGTCTGGCAATCTACCGCTTCCTAAGTTTATGCTGTATTCTTCCCTCAAGGGTAGATGAGAAGATACTCGATTCACTTGGGGGATTTTCTCAGCATTGTTTTAAAAGTTTCTGCTATTGCCAACGTAGCTATATGGATTTTGTGCAGAGGTCATCCTAGTCACACCTAAAGAATAGTTTTAACTTTGAATATTTAAAATTTGAATTTACAGTATAATGCGCCACTGATAAAGAGCAAGGTGTAAGATGAAGTTTTACATCGAATGATTGTTAATAGCTTTCATCGCATTCAGTCACCATGACAAGGCATTTTCTTTTTGTAACTTGTAATTGCTTTCTTATAAATAGATCATTAGCTTCAAGTGATCCATTTGTCAACAGACAAAACATTAACTTGTGCCCACAAGAGATACAACCATCTCCCTCCTGATCAAAGTGCTTCTTCATGAGGTAACCCACTTTCTCACCTATACGTATGCCTTTGATCTTCAGTGATTCACATGTGACCACACCCTGCTTTTCCTGTCAAGCTGAGGGATCCAGTCCATCACCTATTGGAACGTGGAAGCTTCCTGTGGTAACCCACATTATTCCACATTATTCTTAATCAGACACTGTAGGAAAAAAAAATAATTAAAAAAAAAAAACCACAAATAAAAAAAACTATTTAATTACAAGATTATGGTCTTGTAATCTCTCATTATTATCTCATCATCTTGACATCTCTCATGTCATTAGTGATAGGACCAGAGGGAATGGTTTCAAGCTACGGCAGGGGAGATTCAGGCTGGACATGAGGAAGTATTACTTTTCAGAAAGGGTGGTCAGGCACTGGAATGGACTGCCCAGGGAGGTGGTGGAGTCACCGACCCTGGGGGTGTTCAAGGAAAGGCTGGATGTTGTGTTGAGGGACATGGTTTAGTGGGAGCTATTGGTAATAGGTGAATGGTTGGACTGGGTGATCTTTTAGTCTTTTCCAACCTTGGTGATTCTATGATTCTATGATTCTAAGATGCTTTCTTTTGGACTTGCAGTTCTTTCTTTGGTGTGGTCAGGCTAGGTGCCAAACCTCACTAACAGCTATGTACCACACAGAAAATAGATCAAGCCCAGATGTGTGTGTGTAGACATACCAAAAAGATAGGTAACTGTTTCTGTTTTGAAGTTAGTACTATTTGTTTTCTCTGTTGGCTTCATGATGTTTTTATTCCCTTTTTAAGGCTTCATCCATTTACTCTCTTTATGTTTGTTTGTTTTTTCAAATTTTCAGTCCTTTCTTAACAGAAATCTTTACCCAAAAGTATGTAATTAACACAAAAATACATTTTGTCCTGCTTTGGCTTTTAAAATTTGTAACTGAAGCAGAATAATGATATTAATAAAAATGCTGGAAAACTCTTCATATGTTTTGGTTTGATTGAGAATTAACAATTATTCTGTGTTTTTGAAACATTTAGATTAAAGGAGTTGCAGAATGCTGATTCCCAGTTTCCACTAACCACCACTCTGTACTCCGTATGCTGTAAAAGAGATCTTGTCTTAAGTAGTGTTATGGAAGACCTGAAAGCAGGAGTTCCAGTGTTCTGCAAAAGAAATTACAGATTTAGTATCTTACTTCTGTATTACCTGGAAATGTCTATTTATTTTTCAATAAATGTAAACTCTTATGGAGGAGGGTAATTTGGACAAAATGGTGAAAACAAGATGTTAAGAAAGGCAGGGCAAATACAATCCAAACTGAGGGATATACTTATTTGAGACTGTAATTACTATTGTCTGGGATGCATCATTCTTATGAAAACCAAGTTAGCAAATAAAACATGCTTCTTAAGAGTAGGTTCTGAAGTTTGCTTTTATTACTATTTTTTTTTTTTAAATCTTAAGACACCTATTTTGTTTGTTTGGGGTGCTTTTTTGTTTATTTAATCTTTTGAATGCTATAAGCTACTTACCATGCCTATTTGATAGTTTGGCCCTCAGGCTATTTCATGTTTATGAGATCAAAATGCAAAGTGGGAAACAAGTTTATAATTACTATTCTTTTTTAAAAGTATTTGATTTTATGTTGCAAAGCAAAAAATTCTTAAAACTTCTCTAGCAATAAATTGGCAACTTTTCCACCTTTCTGTGTGTTCACTTGTTTTGCATCAGGAAAAAAATACTGTGGCATGGCTGCGCACACAGAATAAGAGGCATATACTTGCTGCCATGTTAGATATTAAAGCTGATGGTCATTTGCTTACAACTGAAATCCCAGAGGGAAGTTTTAAAATGATGCTTTATGCCTTTTCAATGCCGAAATCTTGTTCATTTCCGGATAGAATTGATGAAGGAGATCACAGCTCCTTTCCTTTAGCATCTCAGGAGGCTTTTCCATGTTGTCATTTAAATGCCTACTTAAAAATCTTTCTGCAGTCTTAATGGCATAGGTCCCCCCTCATTCCAGGGGAGCCCTCTTTCAAGGCAGAATCCAAGTAAAGCCTGACAAGGTCATTGAATAGATAGCTTTCAAACAAAAGTTTGTTTGGGGATTCCAATTAGCCTGGTGTACTGGACCAGAGGATTACAAAAACATATGCAGAGTATCTGCCAAGGCCAAGCAGTGTCCATTCCATTCCCTGGAGCACACCTTGGGTTTTGTACCTCTGCTTAAAATGTTAATGCTTACTGCACACAAACCCAGTCTGGGTAGTAGGTATAGGCAGACTTGTTTTGCAATAGTGTCTTTTTTGCAGGAGGGAGAAGAGGTTCTTTTATATCTATATCTATATACCAGGCATGAGATTAAGAAACAACGGTTCAAATGTTGGTCTGATGAGTTTATTACAAATCTTAATTAGGGAGATGGGCTAGGGGAGGATGGACACTATTATGAATTAGGATAATGGGGAAGGGAAGGAGGGCAACAGAAAGGATGGGAAAGAAGAAGCAAGGAGTCTTTGTAGGCAGCAAGAAGAAGGTAGTCACCACCATGGATCCAGTGTGGCAGTTCGTAGTTCGGTCTTTGATCTTCAGTAGTGATGGGTCGTTGGACATTGTTGTTCTGTTGATGATGACAGTGACCGTGGCGATGATGGCCCCTTTTCAGTGGTTCCAAAGTGGTTGAGTCAGCTCTCTGTGGAGTGGCAGCTTCTGGCTCTGGGATCTCAGCAGGAAACGCCTTTGTTCCTATCTTCCGGTCCTTGTCAGCAGATAAAAGGGAACAGGGAGGTGCCAACTTGTATCTTGCCTTCACAGGATACAATGGCATCATCCCGCAATCTCCCATAGCAAACAGGAGTTATTTGGTCACAGGCTAGATCTTCCACCAGTATAAAGTCCTGAGCACTCTCTTCCAAAGGTAAACAGCTCCAAAGAAATGCTTTCAAATGTAAAATTGTCCACACAGTGATGTTGATTGCCACACAGCAACACCCATCTCTCATCTCCTAGAATCTTATCACAAGAAATACCAAGCAAGCAAGCTTTGAGCCAGAAAGCAAAGAAGGATTCATGCAAACAGTTGTTACAGGTAGATGTTAGAAGTAGCTTTTAGTAAAAAATCCCCAGTTGCACTTCTCTAGACCCAGGTCTACTTGGAGAACTGAATGATACAAGGTACAATAAAGTTGGCTGGAGTGTCAGCATTCATCTCAAATAATTGGTACACTTTCAAGGAGATATTTCAAGGAGCAGAAGGCTGTTCATCTGCAATCTACATTATGCTGTATTTTAAGAGGTATAAAAAGGAACTAACTACACAAAGACATTAGAGTGGCCCAGGGGAGAGATTGACTCTTCTCTCTTCTGCCATTAACCATACTCACTACAACTGTTCATCTAATCTTTGACTGCAAAACTCTGAAATTTGATTAAATTGGCTTAAGAGTTTCATCATATCCTCTAGGTTTAGACAGTTCCAACTTGTTTAGAGATCTTACCCAAATAATCTCCAGGACACAATATGCAAATGAAATAGATGCAACTTTGCATCTCCAAATTGTCTCTGCAGTTGGGAAGGATTCATCTGAAGCAATAACTGGTAAAGATCCTTCCCTCAGATACACTGCCTTAATGGAGAAAAATGTGATAACTTAGTGGTTCTGTAGAAGTCTTCAGGTAAATATGTCTGATTCCCTAACAAGATTGCTAGCCTGCCTCTGTAGTTCACAAACCATATTATTATAGAATCATAGAATAGCCTAGGTTGAAAAGGACCACAATGATCATCGAGTTTCAACCCCCTCCTATGTGCAGAGTCATCAATCAGCAGACCAGGCTTCCCAGGCCTCCAGGGATGGGGCATCCACAACCTCCTTGGGCAACTAGTTCCAGTGCGTCACCACCCTCTGTGTGAAAAACATCCTCTTAATATCTAACCTAAACCTCCCCTGTCTCAGCTTAAGATCATTCTCCCTTGTCCTATCACAATCTACCCTCATAAATAGCCATTCCCCCTCCAGTTTATATGGTCCCTTCAAGTACCAGTAGGCTATAATGTGGTCTCCAGAGAGCCTTCTCTTCTGCAAGCTAAACAAGTCCAATTCCCTCAACCTTTCCTCACAGGAGAGGTGCTCCAGCCCTCTGATCACCTTAATGGTCTTTCTCTGGACCCGCTCCAAGCACTCCACATCCTTCTTGTACTGGGGGCCCCAGGCCTGGACACAGTACTGAAGATGGGGGCTCACAAGAGCTGTGTAAAGGAGAACAAATCACCTCCCTCTCCCTTCTTTATTGCAGCCCAGAACACAGTTGGTCTTCTGGGCTGCAAGCGCACACTGCTGGCTCATCCACCAGGACCCCCAAGTCCTTCTCCGCAAGGCTGCTCTCAAGGAGATCTTCCCCCAGCTTGTATAAATACCTGGGATTGCCCTGACCCAAGCGCAGCACCCTGTACTTGCCCTTATTGAACCTCATTAGC